TCTGAGCGATTTATCTAAACACAAACAAAAAAGTAGGCCTATATGATTCTTAAAGTTCATGTGGTCATATAGCCTATTGTGCACTTGGATTGAAATAAATAAATAAATATATCTTCTGATTAAGGGCAGATTTAGATGAGGGTCAGATGCACTATTCCCTATACTTAAGATGTGGAGACCAAATATAACACTATAATGAATCTCCCATATTTGTCATAACATTACTACATTATATTCTATGGGTTTAATGCATTTGCATACAATGTAATTACATGTAACTATCATATAACTGTATATTCACTGTTTGAGAATGCCATTGAATGTGTAGCTAGTATAAAGTGGGTTTTCGTGAAAAAAAATAAAATCTAACTAAAATCAGAACTGAAAACACACACTGGATTTAAAAAAAAAAAAAAAAACTCCCAGTAAATTTCCAAACAGTGATTCTATCAGAACATTTATTGTGTTATATCTTGCATCATTTACGTCTATTTTTGCATTTGATATTGATTTGATAGGAATTGTTACCATTGCCATCATACCAACTGAGAATGTATTGCAATGATTTTAAATTCAGTTGAGGTATCTGACATATTATGACATAAAAATGATCTTTTATATGAAGCCTTTAGAGCCCATAGGCTATAATATGTTGTTTTTAGAGAAATTGCTCAGACCAACCAGTTGGACAGATGTTAATTATATGTACTAATCATCCAAGCACCCAATTCAGCCATTTCTAATATATGCCACATTTCATTAACATTGCTAAATATTATTAAACTGGAAATAAATTAAAGATCCATCTTTGATTGTCAAAAGAATTCCAGGTTCAGTTCCCTCTCAGCCCAATTAGATTTCACATAGTATTTTCATCGGCCAGTTGTGGAGGTCTGATTGTTTAAAGCTTTATTTATATAGCGCCTTTTAAAAGTGTTTACCAAGTGTTTTACAGAGAGATGCATATGTGCATTCACAGAAAAGAAAATACAAACATAAAAGAGATATAGTACAACAAAGTGCAATAACCAGTTTATGTTAAAACAACAATACAACAATAAAAAAAATCAAGAAAAGGCCTTTAGTGAACAAATCTGTTTTGAGATACTTTTTTAAAAGTGCATAATGATAACTTTTGACAGCGATTAATTCAGGTGCAAAAATAATTAATATCTAGCGCATGAGCACAGAGAGATTTGCGAGTGCACAGGACAGTTTGAGTGAGAGGAGAGACACGTTTTAAGTGTGCGCACACTCTCCGGGCAAGAGCAGCGTGTTATATTAATGTGCTTTTGTGCTACAATAATGTGCTCTCGACTTTTGTCATTAAAATAACGCCATACAATAATCGCTAGCACACCCTGAGCACATGTGAGCATTATCTGCATAATATATCAGCATTTTTTTTCAAAATGTTTACACTTTAAGCCTTTATTATCGGCCAATTCAAATAACGTTCCAATAATATCGTGCATCCCTAGTTTTAATCCAACATAAGACGATCTGAGAAAGCTGTAGCTGGTAAACATTCGTGATTGTTTCACCACAGGGTGTCAGTGCTCTTAACTAGTAATGGCGATGATACAGTGTGTGTGAGATCTGATGAATACGATCGGAATGAACCTTTGTTTATCTATATTAAATATGTTAGTCACTTTTCTGTGTCATTTTTCATTCACAATCATTTCACTGCATGTAATGCCAAAATATGAATATTCAAACTGTTTAAAATTAATTAAATGATTAACATAGTTAAATTTCTTTAAGGCAGTTACCACACATTCATTCAGCCATTTTAAACACTGGAATAAGAGCACCAATGCAAAATTAGCCATAGTTTTACTACAAATAAACCCCCAAAAAATTGCAATTGTAGTTAAACCATTGTAACCACAAATTTACCCAGGTTTTGCAAATCTAACCATGGTTTACCCATGGTAATTGTAGTAAAATTGTGGTTATATAAATGGTAATCAGCATGGTTACTACAAAACTATGGTTAATTTTCCTTGGGGTGTTTATCAGTCAAATTCATTTAAAACTGTAAATTCAACAGGTATGAAATCAGAGAAGAGAAAATACTGTTAATAAGAAGTGCTGGACTGCACTATGTTAGTGGGGAAATATATTTATTCATTATTCAGAATGCACATTTGTAAGGGAAATATATACATTTCAGCAGGTTGAAGATAATTCATGTTAACGCAGAGAATATGATTAATTGTTTTTAAAAAATTGTCAGCAATAAAACGTAGTAATAATCTGCATTTTCAAGAGAAACTCTCTGTATGTGTGCTAAACACTGACATGAAACTCCCGAGCTGTACTGAGTAGAATGTGCAAGTAGTCCTTTGCAACTTAAGGCTTATGTTGTACCATGAATAAAACGTTAATCGTATTTGGTAGCCAAAATTCAAACCAAGAAATTGCAGATTCGGTCACACTTTAGTTTGGGGACCAGTTCTCACTATTAACTAACTATAGGGCTGTGCAATTAATCGCATGCGATTGTCATGAGCATCTCGTCAGTGAAGCCGGTTCCGTGATTAGTAGTAAATCTCCATCACCTGCTTTCGGATGGAGTGGCATTTACTGTATTGGCCCGAATATAAGACGACCCCCCCTTTTTCCAGATGTACCTTTTGGGAAAAGGCTTTTTTAAAACCAAATCTTGTTTTCTCTCAGTAAAAAACATTTTGTCTTCAATTATTTTCATATTGCATATTTTTCCTATTTTTATTTTTGTTTTGAAAGTATGGTAAAAATTGATAAAATGTACCAACAATCACATTTAAAAAAATATACCCTTTTTGATATACCATTAAAAAAAAAAAACAGGTAGCCCGTCTGAATTAGGACATTTAGGCTATCCATCTAATAGTAGCCTACCAAAATTTTATTAAGAGTAGAAGTTAAATCTTACTGTAGTCTTCAAATCTGGGTACTGTCTTACGTTTTAAAATCACAAAGAGAGTTTGGTCCCATCAGGCTAACGTGACAGTCACGACTCATGCAGCTGTAAGGTTTTTTTCTTTTGTTTTTGCTCGCAATCTTTACAACACGCGTTACACTTCGTATTTCATGGCACACTCATTTTATGCGTATTTGGCGCCACCTATTGTTGTGGGTGTATTATTGACATGTCAAAGTCTAGACCCCGAATATAAGACGGCCGCGTTTTTTCAGATGTATTTCCAAGAAAAAAAATATCGTCTTATATTCGGGACAATACGGTACTGCACAGATACGTAGTTCACTGACAATTAGGCAATATCGCGTTCATTATCTCAGATTGATCACATTCGATTATGAACTTAATGAATGATGAATGAATTATGAATTTATTGCCTAATTGTCAGTGAACTACGGCTCTGTGTAGTAAAAGCCGCTCCATCTGAAAGCAGGTGATGGAGATTTACTACTAATCATGGAACTGGCTTCACTGACGAGATGCGCATGACAATCGCATGCGATTAATTGCACAGCCCTACTATTAACTACAACTTTTGCCTCAATAATCTCCTAATTAATAGTCATTAAGATAGTTGTTAAGTTTAGGGGATTAAGAGACCTAAAATATGATCATGCAGAATAAGGCATTAATATGTGCTTTATAAGTACTAATATGCTAGTAATATGCATGCTAATAAGCAACTAGTTAATAATGAGAACTGGTCCCTAAACTAAAGTGTTACTGCTTTGAGTATACAGATGTACGTAGTAAAGCACTGTATAAATGTTGCATCAGTCCAATGCAGATCTGATGCAAAAATGCATAGGGTGACAAGGTGTTTTTAAAATGTGTTCAGATGCATTCAGACGTGGAGACTTGGAGACTTGCACCACAGTCACTCCATTGTTGTATTGGCTGTACTTTGGCTTGTTGTCCTGCAGACAGATTTGTGTTCACTCTGGAGTCTGAGTTATGTGATCTGGATAAAGCAGCTCTCTGTGTTTTGCTCCATTTATCTTTCCCTCATTAGTCATTAGTCTTTCTAATGAAGCCTTCCTTAATATGTCTAGCTGCCAAGTTATTGAATTTCATCAAACGTTTATTTACAATTACACAATACACAGTGGACTGAAGTTTGGCCATACTAATGATCATTTTGATTTTACAGGAAATTAAATAAATCAGCTGAGAAACACTCCTTTGAGATTTGAATTTAGCCTAGTGGTGCTACATTGTGCAGCATTTTGCCGTTGTATTCACCATATTAATTTTAAAGTGAATGGTTATAGGCTTTGTTTTGTTGGTTTACTGTGAGACATCAGCAGACAAACATGACCATTTCTTTGAAAGGCCACATAGCAATTTGTTCCAACCTGTTACAGAAATGAACTAACATTTTATAGATTGCATATATTTAAATGTTGTATTGAAAAAAAAAAGTACCATCAGACACCAGAAAAGAGTGACGTTATTTAAAGAAAAATTATGTAAACAAAAACTAGGATAATTTGTAATTAATATTATTAATTAATATAATTGATAATTTTGTATTATGTAATTTTACATCAGTTACCGAAAGCTCCGATTATTTTTATTTTTATTTTATTACTTTATTTTTTTTATTTTTTGATGAGGCACATTCAATTGTATGACTACAAAACACTACAAAATTTTAGAATGTAATTGTTATATTTGCAAAAAATTATAATAATAATTTTTTAAAAGTATGTATGTATATATATATATATGTGTGTGTGTGTGTGTGTGTGTGTGTGTGTGTGTGTGTGTGTTACAATTTCACCACAAAATTGTACATTTCAATGTTTAAGTGTATATATACTATTTTTCCTGATATATTCTCATTAAACATTGATATCTCTAACTTAGGCAGTAAAAAAAAATACATCAAACATATGAACACGATTTCATCTCCATCAGTGTTTCAAGCTAACGTTTTCAGTGATTGTCAGTATTGTAGAGCCCACTCATCCTCTGTTCTTCTTCTATTGGCATTTCATTCATTCTGCTGTGTTTCTTCCTCAGCGGTGAAATGGATGATGGAAAGCCGGTGTGGGCGCCTCACCCTACGGATGGGTTCCAGCTGGGCAGAATCATTGACATCAGTGCCGATAGTCTGACCATCGAGCCTCTCAACCAGAGAGGGAAGGTGAGGAGGAGCTTCTGCAAGAATACACAGTGTCACATTTAAGGCCGAAACATAGATTTTTGCATTTTAATATGTGTCAGAATGCCAATTAATAATTCAGTGGACAAGGGCTCACATGAATGACCTTCTATGCTCAGTTTTCTTTTATAGGGCAGGTACTGTTATGGCAGATCAACAATTTGAAGAGAATCTTGCTGAGCAAGTTAAAGTTGGTTCAACTGTCATCATGTGTATAGCCAGTGTAATAACACATCTGGTTTAAAGGGATAGTTCAACCAAATATGGGGTAAAAAAAAAATGTCATCATTTACTCGCCCTCATTTCGTCCCAAAACTGTATGATTTTTCTTCTGCTGATCACAAAAGAAGATAATTTCAATATTTTTGAATGCTGGTGCCTGTTTGTAACTTCCATCGAATGTACAAAAAACAAGCAAACAAACACTGAGACATTTCTTGAAATATCTTCTGTTATGCTCCACAGAAGAAAGAAAGTCATAGAGTTTCTGAACAACATGAGTAAATGAAGACCGGATTTGATTTTTTTGGTGAACAATCCCTTTTATAGTACCCAAGTAGTTCTGTTGCTCCGTTATTACTGCATTAATGCAAAAACTCATGTTAAGTATCTACAAAAGGACCACGCTCTTAAAATGTGTTGGCTGATCATTTAGACCTGCATATTTGTATTTTTTTTTTCGATGGCCTAACAAGCTGTAAAATCATTATTCTGACATCAGCGGGTTTAAACTGTGGAATAGGGTTTATTGAGAAATATTCAGGAAATGGTGAATGGCAGTCATATAAAAATCTGTATTTCTCAGTTTTAATGTAGTGCAGTTGTTCTCCACTGGTTTTGTTTCAGATTTCATTGGGAAAAAATGCACAGTGAGTTATGAAGATATGACAATTGGTTTCAAAATATCCAAAAACCACTTGCACAGTGTTATATACAGTATTTCATGCAGTTGTGCACTTACGTTATCCCAAGAGTTCCCAAGGATTTGTAAATCCAGAGAAATAATGGCTCATCCCTGTTCATTTTCGCCTATCAAAGACGTAATATCCGCACTATCGGTTTCCACTTTTAGAAACTATGACAACACACATGGGCAAAAATGCTGCTGTATAGTTAAACTAAATCCATTATGGCTGTCGCAAATAAAATAAAAATGAATTGAAATGAACAACATGAGTAAATGAAGACCGGATTTGATTTTTTTGGTGAACAATCCCTTTTATAGTACCCAAGTAGTTCTGTTGCTCCGTTATTACTGCATTAATGCAAAAACTCATGTTAAGTATCTACAAAAGGACCACGCTCTTAAAATGTGTTGGCTGATCATTTAGACCTGCATATTTGTATTTTTTTTTTCGATGGCCTAACAAGCTGTAAAATCATTATTCTGACATCAGCGGGTTTAAACTGTGGAATAGGGTTTATTGAGAAATATTCAGGAAATGGTGAATGGCAGTCATATAAAAATCTGTATTTCTCAGTTTTAATGTAGTGCAGTTGTTCTCCACTGGTTTTGTTTCAGATTTCATTGGGAAAAAATGCACAGTGAGTTATGAAGATATGACAATTGGTTTCAAAATATCCAAAACCCACTTGCACAGTGTTATATACAGTATTTCATGCAGTTGTGCACTTACGTTATCCCAAGAGTTCCCAAGGATTTGTAAATCCAGAGAAATTTCAGTTTTAAATAATGGCTCATCCCTGTTCATTTTCGCCTATCAAAGACGTAATATCCGCGCTATCGGTTTCCACTTTTAGAAACTATGACAACACACATGGGCAAAAATGCTGCTGTATAGTTAAACTAAATCCATTATGGCTGTCGCAAATAAAATAAAAATGAATTGAAAAGTGATTATTCTTTTTACGCGTTTTTACAGTGTTGCGCATTATAACCAATCACACATGAGTCTGTTGAGCTAATAAACGCAGCGGCCAATCAGAGGTGTTCAGATGAATCATCGCTGAAACGCCGGAGTTTTGTTGTTCAGTGCGCGCGCTCACTGACTGAATTCTGCTCTCTCGCAAATTCTCTCATCATAAACAACAAAGTGCAGATGTACGTATGATGTAGATTCATTCATCAAACAGTGTATAGACAGCTTTACTGATTATAAGGGGAGTTTTTTTAAGAGTGCTTAAACTTTGGAAGGTACAGGTAATACATTTTTTATTTATTTATTTTTTCATCCGTGAACATGATTCTGACATTTCTGGATGGTGAAAATGACATCTCCCATCATTCCACTCTCCTTCATAGCATCATCAAGCTCCGCCTGTGTTACTGTTTTGAAATTGTTGTCACACCTCTAGCAGCAAAAAGTTACATATTGCGCCTTTAAAGAAAGCTTTTGACACAATTGATTATGGCTGATTAATGATTAAACTGGAGAGATATGGTATAAGAGGAAAACCCTTCTCTTGGTTAAAAAGTTACCTCGATGACAGATATCAATTTGTACAAAGAAATTGTTAAATCAGATCTAATGAAAATCACTTGTGGTGTTCCACAAGGTCCGGTGCTAGGCCCCAAATTGTTTGTACTGTATATAAATTATATTTGTAAAGTGTCTAAAATATTAAAAATGGTTTTGTTTGCTGATGACACAAATTTATATTGTACAGGGAATAATTTGGAACAGCTTCTGAATACAGTGGGAATTGAGCTGATGATCTTTAAAAATGGTATGATGATAATAGATGATAATAAATTCATTGAATTTAAGTAAAACAAAGTTCATAATACTTAGTAATCGACAAAGTAATAACAAAACTAAAATTAGGATTAATAATGAGGAAATAGAAAGAGTGTATGAAAATAAATTTCTGGGTGTTACAATAGATCATAAATTATGCTGGAAACCACAGTGTTACAAGCTGATTGTGCATAGATAAGATCCCTGAAGTTGCAAAGACTAAAGTCTCAAACCCAAAGAGATATTCTTTATCAAAGTTAAGACTCTGCCACGCCCCCCTAAAACGGCTCGTTCTAACACGCCCCCACATATCTACCTCACTGTGTGTTTCTAGGCGAAAGCAAAAGCACTTTATTTGGCCTTCCGAAAGTAGATGCATTTAGGAATCTTTAAGATTACTTGCAACAGAACAGCAATGCATTTTATGGACGACCGTTTCGTGAACCTAGGCTTCTGAATCAGCCACTGTTTTGATATTAGCTTAAGTATGTGCTATTGACTGTTCAAATGAGGAGTTTTGTGCATCGAGAGAGAGAGAGGGAGCGAGAGAGAGCGAGAGAGAGAGAGAGAGAGGATGAAGCTGGCGATTATGGTAAGGGGTGTTACATTCCCGACAATGCACTGGGTCAGCTGGCCAATCAGAGCAGACTGCGCTTGTCGGAAGGAGGGGCTTTGTAGAAAAGAAGCGTTTGAGAGAGGCGGGGCATAGAGGACCTACAATAATGTACAGTATTTTAAAAATAATGTGTTTTTTGAACATTAAAGCATGTCAACATATTCTGTTACACCAAATACACCAAATAATTATCTTAAAAAAAGCATCATATGACCCCTTTAACAATTACAAACTTTAAAATTTGTTGATTTAGTTTATTTCTGTACTGCACAGATAATGTATAAAGTATATAATAATTTACTTCTAAATTGTATCCAGAGGTTGTTCGAAATAAGAGAAAGCCAGTATAAACTAAGAGGAATGTATACGTTTAAAAAAAATAAGGACAAGAACTACTATAAGAAATAGATGTATTATATCTGTCAATGGGGTAAACTTATGGAATAATTGTGATAAGGAATTAAAAATATGCAATTCACTTTGTAAATTTAAGAAAATGTTTCAAAACAAGGTTATATATATAGTATTTTAGGGCTGGACAATAATTCAATATCAATATGTATCGCGATATAATTCTTTTCAATAACGGTGATATGATTTTTAAACACATTTCCGATATTTCGATATGTTTCCCATTCCTTGATTTATTTGTGCCGTTTGACTTCGTTGAATAAACATGAGCACTGCACGGCGCGGGTGTTTTATATGAATGTATCTCTGAAGGAAACCGACTGTCTTCAGAAAAGTTTCGATGACATTTTCATTTGATCTGATATAGCGTTCATGAGCGGAGCTGCTTTGATTACAGTCATGGAAAAACCGCTAGTTCTGCCGCTCTCACAGCGCCTCCTGCTGGCAGACAAGCAGTTTGCATTTTCAATAATAAGCCCGTCTCCAGCAACAATGTTTTTGTTGTTGCTCTTTTTTTTCTGCAGCAACTCAGAGCACTTTTCATATTCTTTATCCTGGCTGAAGCACATTTGTTTCAATCTATAACAATAATCAGCCACCCTACATTACCAGTCAAAGGTTTTTGAACAGTAAGATTTTTTTTTTCTTTTTTTTTTTAAGAATTCTCTTCTGCTCACCAAGGCTGCATTTATTTGATCCAAAGTACAGCAAAAACAGTAAAATTTTGAAATATTTTCTATTTGAATATATTTTAAAATGTAATTTATTCCTGTGATACAAAGCTG